AGTCTGTCTGTCTGTCTGTCTGTCTGTCTGTCTGTCTGTCTGTCTGTCTGTCTCTTTCTCTCTTTCTCTTTCTCCTTCTTCTTCTTCTTCTTTTTTTTTTTTTTGAGACATGGTCTCAGTATGTAAGTTGACCTCAAACTTGATCCTCATACCTCAACCTCTTAAGTCTTGAGATTACAGGTATGTGTCACCACACCTAGCAAGAGTTTGGTTTTTTTCCTAGGATTTCTTGGAACAGAGTAATCTTAAATCCTTAAGATAAGGTAACCCAATCATTCTTTTCCCATAGAATTAACTCAAAAATTGTATATGAAATTCTCTGTATCTTCATAGTTGGCAAAAATTCAGCAAACTCTGAAGGAGGCTTCTGAAAGTCAAGAGGCTTATGCTTCCAGCTCCTGAGGATGAATGAGTCATCAACATCAGAAATATTCACTGTTGTTCAGAGATGCTGAGGGTGCTGGCCTTGAGACCTTAAAAGGGTTGCTTTTCTGACATCCTGTCTTTTGCAGGACTTTCTAGTCTCAATCCCACCATTAAATTCTCCAGAATCAGAGTTCTGAGTCTTAAATATGTTTCACGAAGTAGAAGAATGTATCACTGATACCTTCCTATTTGGATGGCATTTTCCTAGACAAACAAGTCTATGACCTTTAAGGATGGGTGCAGATTTTAGTAGATTGGAGAATTTCTTAATTAGACTGTGATGTAGAACTTTTTAACTGCTGGCATGGAGAGGAAGTTCCATAGTGGCAGTCTTGTCAGATTAATAATCAAATTCAACAATCCACCCTCAGTGTGTGTGTGCATGTGCACACACGTGCTGAGGCTTAAAGAAGGTGTGCAGGATACATGGTCAGAGCCTCTTTAAATTTTGGTAAGACTTATATTTGCATTCTATTCTTCTCCTTTCATTTTTAAACAAATAGTCAACACATAATTGGAAAATGTTGTGTTCTGTGTTTCTGTTAATATTTTTCAAGCAGTGGTGAGTGCTGAGGGACTGTTGTGACACAGGATGACAGTATTCAGAGTTTACAATTTAGTGGGTTTACATTAAGCACAGTCCAGTTAGCTTAATATCTGTAAGATGGAAGATGCCTTTCAGAGGAAGCTCTTTAATAGATGCCTCCCAAACCAGCCCTTGAAGGTCTTTCTGGTCTAGTGTTGTGTTCAAGGAAGCAAGATAGTGTCACTAAAACTACACTCAGTCATGTTTTATTGAGCTCAAGAATGGTTTTCAACAATTCTACCTTGATCTTGGTAGAGTTTTTCTTTTATTTATTCCATGTTCAATAAATCTATAATAATCACTAGATATGTAGTATTTGTTGAAGATGAAGTTTTCCACAATTCTACCTTGATCTTCGTAGAGTTTTTATTCAACATTCAACAAATCTATGATAGTTACTAGATGTTAAGTGTTCATTGGAAATGAAGTAGTAATCAAGTCAGGCAATTATGAGCTCTTTTTGGGACTAAAGATCTCATGAGGGACTTGAGGGGAGAGATATCACTGATACAAATAGATAAATTGGAGTGTTTGTGTACAACATGTGCTCTGCAGAGCATGGTAAAGGGTGGTGGGACCACGGATGGCTGGGAGCTACTTCAGTGTGGGTGATCAAGTAAAGCATTCTGAGTCAGTGATACTTAAGCTGAGACTTGAGGTGGCCACACAGAGGAACAGGGGAAGAGAACAAATGGGAGGACAACCTTAATTATACTGCTGATTTCTGCTAGTCTACTGAAAGGAGCAGTTAATGCTTAGGGTTTTTTTTTGTTTTGTTTTTCATTTTTATAACTTTTTGTCCCAATTTTGTATGTTTGTATCTGGTAATCTGAACAACTAATTTGAAGACAATAATATACAGTATAACAACCATTATTGATTTCCTATTATTTTATTTAGTGAAATTCTGTATCATTTCTAATTTATTTTACTATTTTTT